GGGATGGGGTGCGGTGCGATCTCGGGATCGATGTGGGATTGGATGGGTTGCGTGAGAACGATCGGGGGGGCATGTTAGATCGAGTGCGCACTCATGCGATGACTTGCGATGCTGATGAACCATATGTGCTGGACGGGTGGTGGCCCCGCCTCGATCGTAAACAATCCGCGCTGCATGCGCGGTGTAGCAGCAGGGCGCAATGTCAAACAGACGAAGCGCCCTCCACATTCTACGCACGGCTATGCCTCTCAGAACTCGCCCGAGCTGGGCGGCGAGATGCAGCGCCTCTGCTGCTTCTGCGGCGGCGGCGGCGCGGCGTCGTCTGCTGCGCATGCGGCTGGCCCACGCCCGACGCCCTCGAAGTTGCTGGAATCAGCAGTCTCCGCCGCCGCCGCCGCCGCAGGTGGCTCCTCCATCGCAGCCGCCTTCTTCGGGACCTTCCCCTTCGACTTCGGCCTGGGAGATGCACTGGCATTGTGCGTCACGGGCGTCTCATCGGACGCGCCTGCAGCACCAGTGGCCAAGTTCTCGGCCTTGATGTCTGCATTCTTCTTCTGAAACTCGATCTTCATGGCCTGGGCGCTGATCTTGTCACACTTCCCCGCGGCTGCCATCTTCGCAATCGCCGTGCACCAGTCAATCGCAGCGGCCTCGTCCATGCCCTTGAAGTACATGGTGTCGATCTGCACCAGCTGCTCGCCCTTCACCTTGACCCACATCAGCCGCTCCTTCCGCCCGCTGGCCAGCTGGTTCCACCGCGCCCCGACTCTGACTTGATCGCCATCTGGAGTGGTCCCCTTGAAGTACGTCTGCCGCTTCACGTCGCCCGCGATGGGCGCACCAGCTTCACCGCTGCCACTTGCAGCAGCACCGCCCTTGATCATGTCGTACGCCACGGCGGCGCTGAATCCCTGAACTGTCACCTGCGGGATCACGGCAACGCTCCCGTCCTCGAACTCCGCCTGCATAGCGTCGGCTGGTCCAGCACCCTTGGGCTCGACCATCTTGACACAGAACTCGGGTGCAGCGGACGGCTTGCCCTTCGGCTTGCGCCACGCAAGCGACAGCTCCTTGGGTGATGCACAAGCAACTGGTTCCCGACCGCGCCCTGACAGTTTCCTACATACCCGTTGGTTCCCGACCGCTTCCCGACCGATTCCCGGGAAACAATGGTTCCCGACCGCAGCGGTCGGGAATCGGTCGGGTAGCGGTCGGGGAGCGGTCGGGAAGCGGTCGGGAAGCGGTCGGGAAGCGGTCGGGAAGCTGTCAGACCGCGGTCGGGAATCTGTGAGAACGCAGCACGAAACATACTGACAGAACTGGGAATTCGGCATCACGCGAAACTACACCCTATCCCTCCTTATGAGGAGGGGCAGGGACCCGCGATCGAGCGAACCGAATCCAGAATACAATTCGAGATGAGTGCGTCCTTCGCATAACCATACGACCACGACTTCTCCTGCGCGGTCACGCCGCCCTCCGTCGCCGCCGCAGGGCGCTTCACATGACTGGCGGTCGGTGGGCCCCGAGCGTCCGAGCCAGCCACCACCATGTCAGCACATTGCTTCGCAAACTGGTGGCACTCATCATCTGCATCTGCTGCATGTGCGTCGCTGGCATCGCCCTCTGCCTCATCCTCGCCAGTCTCGTCATCCTGAGCTTCACCTCCCTCCTCAGACTCACCACCTCCTTCTGTGTACTCGCCCTGGAAAACCAGAAGCTTCACCAACCATTTTGGCGGTCCCGAGGCCCTCGTCCACGCCATCTGAACGTGACAGCACATGGTGCGAATGCGTTTCGCCGCCTCCGTTTTCCAATCATCTAGTTGGGAGGTGTTCAGTTTTATGTTGCTTGGTTTGGCAGACGCCACGCGCCCGAGGGCGCGTTCCATCTTCGCCTGTGCGAAGCAGAGGTTACGTTGCACCTTCGCGAGCTCACGAAACAATCGAGACCATGTGGCCGCACATATACAACAACGCACGCGCCCCACGTGATACACACACACACATACACACTAGTGTGAGCTCGATTTGTTTCATAAGTGCGTGAACCTGTGCCAACCTCCAGAGCATCTTCCTGTGAGCTTTGATCTGGGATTTGACGAGCTTGCACTTCCTCATCTTATTGGGGTACCTGATCGAGTTGGCCGACGTTACGAACTCACCCACGATGACCGACAACTCATCTGCGCTACCCGCATATCGTGCAGCATCCACATCGTCGTCCGACATTCTTGCTAAACACTCGAGCCCAAAATGGCTCCAACCATAGGCATATCACATGGATGTCGACCATGATTTCGCATGCATGACCTCCTACCTATTCAGTATTATTATTCCCCCGCCGCCCCATCCTCATCATCACCCCCCCCCTGTCGCATCATCATCATTATCCTCCTCCTCGTCATCTTCATCCTCATAAGGGCGAGTGGGAGTGAGATGGGGGAGGCGAGGGAGATGATGAGGGGGCGGGTTATGAGGGAGGTGGAGGGATATGAGGG